CTGGATCTGCAGTCAACAAGACCAACGCGGTTGGATGGAAGTCGAACGCCCTTGACTCCAACTTGCTCCGTGAAATATTCGATGATCGCCCGATCCGAGGAAACAACGCCACGGAGAAAGCGAGGGAAGTTATGCGTAGAGTCACCGAAGCCTGCGATGCAACTATGCCCCGGAAGCTTTGTACAAGCGACCATCCATCGGTGTACTGGTGGAACAACACCATCGCCACCCTACGAAAGGCATGCATTCGAGCGAGGAGGCAAGCACAACGAGGCCGGAAGAAGCCAAACTGCAAAGAACTGGAGATCAAGTATAAGGAGGCACGCCGGACACTCAATAAGGCGATCAAGGAAAGTAAGAGACAGGCGTGGAATGAGCTCCTTGACGAAGTCGAAGTGGACCCGTGGGGGCGACCCTACGGTTGTCTCTTATACACNCCATCGGTGTACTGGTGGAACAACACCATCGCCACCCTACGAAAGGCATGCATTCGAGCGAGGAGGCAAGCACAACGAGGCCGGAAGAAGCCAAACTGCAAAGAACTGGAGATCAAGTATAAGGAGGCACGCCGGACACTCAATAAGGCGATCAAGGAAAATAAGAGACAGGCGTGGAATGAGCTCCTTTACGAAGTCGAAGTGGAACCGTGGAGGCCACCCTACGGTGTTGTCATGAAGAGGTTGAGAAACCAGCCGATGCTGTCGCCTACGTGCCCTGAGCTTTTGGAGAAAATCGTAACTGTGCTGTTCCCACAACAACCGGAGCTCGACTTCTTCACTGAGAAGTGCGATGCAGAGGCGATCCCTCCAGTGACACTTGAGCAGCTGCTGGAAGCTTGTGGCAGATTCGGGAATGCCAAGGCACCAGGAATGGATGGCATCTCGAATGCCGCCCTGAAACTGGTAATCAACGCAGCGCCAGAAGCCTTCCTGAGTGTTGTTACGTCCTTCCTTCTCGACTGATGACTGAGATGACCTACAACAAAATGAAAAAAAGTTAAATTACAACAATAAATATAAAATTAAGGATAGATTATAATCACTTACCAACTGTAATAGGTAATGGGTTCTTGACGGTCGTCGGTAACCAGTTACCAGAAGCCGCCAATCACCGATTACCTACCGATGTAATACTTTTAAGTAAACAATGAACGAGGCAGCAGCATTTTTAAAGCCATTGGCACGCGCCATTCTTTTAAACACCTCAGCATTCCCGCGGTTGGAAGAAACATGTGAGTGCTGAGTAGCCCAAAAATCACCGGATGAAAAATTCTGCTAACTCGATTTACCGGAAATAAAATGGATATAAAATATGAAAAAATTAAAATAATAAGACAGTTCACACACTCACCTGGATTCGGCTACACCTCATTAAACCTCCTGAAGTGTTGACCATAATACTGCCCGACTCTTCTCTCATTTATCCCGGAACCCGAGCATAATACTGCCCAGGTTCCTCCTCCACGAGAATCGAGCGGTGAGTTTGCCCGTTCTCACCGACCCGTTCCTCGTCATCTCCCCGGGATCAGATCGATGCCGAAGAAGAAGTCGCACCAAGCCAGCCGTAGATTCCAACTCCGAAAACTTCGTGCTATTTACAGCACTTCTCGACAAGTGGATCTCGACGCGATATTTTCGGATCCCAAACCACCTCAACCGACTGTTTCTGCAATCGAAACTGTCCGGTTAGTGGTTAAGAAGGATTCAGTGGGAAACTATTCCCTCCAACGTCAACCACTAGTTCACGGGAGTCAGCCGCCAACACCCAAAGCTCCAGAGGGAATCGAGCCTGCAGTAGGATTTCTTCACAAGCAAGCCTCCTCATCTCAAGGGTATTTCACCAAAGAATACCTTGAGGGTCATCTGGAACCTGGATCTACACCCCTATCCGTTCCACTACTCCTACAAGATAAGCCAGCCTGTGTTTTTCGGCGACGTAGGGATCAACTCAAGGTTACCCCAGCCACCCGGAAGTTTCTCGACACTATCAGGAAAAGACTAGAGTTCCTCCGCCATCGACAAAGCGAATTTAAATAAGGTAAAATAAAAACACTTATTAAAAGTTTAATCCTTCTGGTCAGTCGACACTGAAAAAGTAGCTTCATCTAGTCTTAGGACGTAACAGTGTCTATAATGCGTGTCTTCAGAAGGAGATATTTCCAACCAAGTGGATGCAACAGAGACTGGTGCTGCTTCCGAAAGGTAAGAAGCTACCGGACGGACCCTCATCCTATCGTCCACTCTGCATGCTGGAGACAGCCGGAAAAATACTGGAGCGCATACTCCATCAGAGGATCGAGGAAGTGGTCGAACCACAATTGGCTGACAACCAATACGGTTTTCGTAGAGGTCGTTCCACGCTCGATGCCATCAACCTAGTCGTCTCCATTACACGGGACGCAATCTCTGACGCGAGGTGGAAATGGGGCGCGAAGCAGTACTGTTTGGTGATAACGTTGGACATCAAAAATGCCTTCAGCTCCGCCAGATGGGACAACATCATGGAGGCCCTCTCAAAGCTGAATGTACCAGGATATCTGCGGAGGATGGTGCGAAGCTACTTCACAGACAGAGTCCTGAAATATGATACAGACGCTGGCCCAAAAGAGTACAGTCACTGGTGGCGTTCCCCAGGGCTCGGTGCTTGGCCCTCTCTTGTGGAACGTTATGTACGACGGTCTTCTGAAGTTAGCGTTACACAAGGAGGCTACACTCGTCGCATTTGCGGATGATGTAGCTCTGGTAATCGTTGCAAAACGCCTGGAGGAGATCAATTACATTTTCGATATTGCATATGACAGAATTCGTCAATGGATGAACTCAGTGGGACTGATGCTGGTAGAACATAAAACGGAGGCTGTGCTTATCAGGAGCCGACAAAAGATCGAAACCATCACGCTGCATGTCGGGAATCAGGACATCACCTCCCAACCATCGCTAAGATACCTGGGAGTGATGATAGATGCTCGACTCAGCTTCAAGCAGCAGGCGCAGTACGTCGGCCTGAAGGCGTCTGGAGTTGGGACTGTCCTTTCACCGCTCTTGCCGAACGTTGGAGGGCCAAAGCAGAAGAGAAGAGCGTTGCTGTCATCAGTTGTCACGTCGGTCCTTACATATGGCATTTCCATTTGGGCTGACGTACTCTTGATCCAGCATGCACGACGGAAGGTGGCGTCAGTTTATCGATTGAGCGCCCTTAGTGTCATCGCCGGGATGCTGCCGATAGGAGTACTCGCCGAGGAACGACGTTGTCTTTATCGGCGAAAAAGTTCAACAACGTTGAGTTCAGCTGAGCTGAGGACGGATGAGAGAAACAACAGTCTGCATCGATGGCAGTTGCTGTGGGATGTCTCGACCAATGGGAGATGGACTCACCGCCTGATCCAGAAATTGGATGTATGGGTCAAACGAACACACGGAGAAGTCAATTACTATCTCATACAGAAGCTGTCAGGACGGGGGTGCTTCCAGCAATATCTTCATAGGTTCAAATATGAGGAATCGCTGGAGTGCCTGGCCTGCATTGGAGTCTCCGAAGATGCGGAGCATGCGTTCTTCGTGTGTCCGCGCTTCAACGGGCCCCGCAGTACTCTCGAGACTACACTCGGAAAGAGAATTCAGCCTGAAAACCTGGTGGAAGCAATGCTTCCATCAGAGGCAGCCTGGGAGGCAACCAGCGCCTTCGCAGCGGAAGTCCTGAAAGACCTACGCAAGGCGGAGCAAGAAAGGAACAGAAATAAGAGGAAGAGGAAGAAATGAGATGGAAGAAGTGCTGACTTCGATCGGCCGAAGGAAGAGCTACGGCTAAACCTCCCCCGTGCTGTAATGCCTAGCGGCGGTTCCACGGGGAAATAGGAGGCAGGTGTGAGGGGTATGTTTTTAGTCCGTATTGGTTGCACATTCGCCGAGCTAAACCAAGCCAGGTCTCACCAACCTTGGCAGCTCGTGGTCGTCACCATCCAGACCAGATCGAGTCGGGCACTACTCTCTGGGAATTTCCAAACCCGGGCGTATACGTAAATGCATTTTTCTCCTGAAAAAAAAAACACACACACATACACACACACCCCTCCTACGAACTGCAGGACCTTGTCGACGGTGGAGGGGCTTAAGGGATGTACCCAAACCAAGAAGCAGTTCAAACCGAGGTCTGTCCTTCTCAGGACATCTTGGGAGAGAAGCCCAACTCCAAAAGAGGCATGCAGGGTGGGCTCCCTACAACAGCCTCCCCCCAATGTCAAGGTGTTCACCGTGCCGAGTTCTGGAAGACGCCAGGGGTAGTTGGCGTCCCAAATGGTGGTCCCTGGGGCACCAGGTCCCACCCCAGGTGTATTAAGTGGCCTTACTCCTACACCCCGGGCTCTGTCAGGAGTGGACTGTCATACTTCCCTAGGTACTTGTGGGAACATGATGGATATTAAAGTACACACACAAAACGAAGATAAACAGCAGGACAACGTGGCTCAAAAAACTGGGGCAAGTGACGAGGTCACATTGAAGAAGATGTGGGATAGGAATGAACAGCTCATAGCCGACCTGATCACTTACATGAAGGAGAAGAGGAGCATCAACGCACATTGTCAAGAGATGGTAAACTCTATCAGTACCTCTGCCAAACGGCTCAGGCAACTAAGAGGACATACTGGGCAGGTGAGGCGATTGCCGGTCACACCGGCATCTTTTCCTGTAGGCCGGACGCGGACGCTCACTGAAGGTACCGCGACCTCGATGGACTCGGAGTTGGGGGGAGACAGCTCTGCTCTCTCTGATAACAAGGCTTCCAAGATGAAGAGAAAGTCTCGAGATTCACCACCGACGGATACTGGGGACCTCAAGAAGAAGAAAGATGAGATGAAGGCCGCTCATGCCCCGCACAAGAAGGAGGACGGACTTGCAAATTCATCGTAGTGGTAGCAGGTCAAGCCGAAGAAGAAGAGGCAGAAAGCGCAGCCGCCAGAAAAGCGCAAGAAAAAGGAGAAAAAGAAGCAGAGGGCACCAGTCATGAGGCCCAACGCTTTGATTGTACGCCCGAAGGACACGCAGCGGTACTTGGAGGTGCTCAAACAAGTAAAGCAGCAGATACCCCCCGGCCAGGCTCGTGACTGCGTCAACAAAATCCGCAGAACGACCACGGGAGATATGCTGATCATCCCATCAAAGGATGAGGATGAAGCTGGCCTCTTACACAAGGCGATAGTTGAACTCCTTGGAAAAGAGGCTGATGTCCTCAGTGAAGGGCCACAGGAAGAGCTTCAGATCAAAGACCTTGATGAGCTGACGACGAAGGAGGAGGTGCTGGAGCCCCTCAAACTCGCGGCGGGAGCAGATTGCCAAATTGCCCCGGATGCCATCAGATCTTTGCGCAAGGCCTACAGAGGTACCCAGACTGCATTAGTGACGGTGGCTGTAGCGGTAGTGAATAAAGTCCTAGGCGATCGCGGTAGGATCCGTATAGAATGGGTGAACTGCCGAATCCGAAGGGTGGAGACAGTGACCAAGTGCTTCAAGTGTTGGCACTATGGACATCTCGCCATCAAATGCAAGAGCCAAGTGGACAGAGCGAAGCTCTGTACAAAATGTGGCGAAGAGGGACACAAAGCTGCTACATGTGGAAAAGAGGCCCGCTGTGTCTTATGTGCTGAGAGAGATCCATTGAAGGACTGTGCTCATACTGCTGGTAGCAGCAGATGCCCTGTCTTCAGGGAGGCACACCAGCAGGTGAATAGGAAACGATAATGCGGATACTGCAACTCAACCTCGACCACTGTGAGGCCCCACACGATCTCCTTATGGAGACGGTGCGCGAGCTGAAGAATGATCTGACGATCGTCTCGGAGCCATACAGACATCTGGGCAATCAGCCCTGGGAGACGGACAAGAGTCGCAAGGCCGTCTTCTGGTCTTGGGGAAAGTATCCGCTTCAAAGTGTTGCGACTACTGATGAGGCTGGCTTTGTGGTAGATACGCTGGATGGAATTTATTTCTACAGCTGTTATGCTCCACCAAGCCTCACCCTTGACGGATTCACGGACTGCCTGCACAGACTAACTGAGGACGCGAAGCAGCACTTCCCTATTGCAATCGCAGGGCACTTCAACGCCTGGGCAGTCGACTGGGGTAGCAACGAGACCAAAGCAAGGGGGCAAGCACGATTGGAGGCTATGTCTTCACTAGACATTGTCCTGCTGAACAACGGTGATGGACCCACGTTCGAAAGAGGAGTCAAGAGCTCAATAGTAGACTTTACCTTCGTCAGGAGTAATCTCGCAAGAGGAAACTGCTCCTGGAAGGTGATGGATAACTACACCGCTAGTGGTGTAGTTGTAGTGGTGTAGTACTTCCTCCCCAAAGGGAAGAAGCCACCGGACGAGCCATCATCATATCGCCCATTCTGCATGCTAGATACAGCTGGGAAAATCCTCGACAGCATCATCCACAGAAAGATAGAAGCAGCAATAGAACCGCTGCTAGCTGATAACCAATATGGCTTCCGAAGAGGTCGCTCTACCATCCACGCCATTGACCTCGTCGTCAACACCGCCAAGGAGGTGACCTCTGGGAGAAGATGGAGAGAAAGTACGAAAAAATAATGCCTGGTGGCGACGCTAGATATCAAACACGCCTTCAATTCAGCCAGGTGGGACTGGATTATGGAGGCTCTTGAGAGGATGATCGTCCCAGGGTATCTGCGGAAGATGGTAGCTAGCTACCTCGCCGACAGAGTTCTCAAGTACGATACAGAGAGCGGCCCTAAAGAGTACCAAGTCATCGGAGGGGTACCACAGGGCTCGGTGCTGGGCCCTCTCTTGTGGAACATCATGTATGATGGATTGCTGAAGGTAGCATTGCCAACTGAGGTGAGACTCGTGGCATTTGCGGATGACGTGGCGGTGGTGATTGTGGCGAAGCACCTGGAGGAAATCAACTCCATCTTCGATTCGACATTCAGGAGGATACATCAGTGGATGGATTTAGTTGGATTGCAACTCGCGGAGCATAAAACGGAAGCGGTGCTCATTACTAGTAGGAAGAAATTGGAGAGTACCACACTGCAAGTCGGTGACTACCTAATCACATCTCAGCCGTTTATTCGGTATCTTGGAGTAATGATCGATGCCCGACTCAAGTTCAAGCAGCAAGCGGAGCATGTGGGTACCAAGGCATCTGGAGTCAGATCCACCTTAGCACGCCTCATGCCCAAAATCGGAGGTCCTAAGCAACGGAGACCAGCGCTGCTGTCTTCAGTGGTGACGTCAGTGGTTACATATGGTATTTCCATTTGGGCTGACGTTTTCCAGCTGCAAGAAGCTCGCCGTAAAATTGCACCTGTCTATCGGCTAAGTGCCCTCAGAGTAGCGAGTGCATACCGGACGGTATCTGAGGACGCAGTCTGCGTCATCTCAGGAATTATACCGATAGAGGTATTAGCTGAGGAGCGAAGATCCCTGTATCAACGGAAGAGAACAGAAGCGCTGAATCCCGAAGAACTGAAAATCCATGAGAGACGAAACAGCTTGAGCCGATGGCAGCAGAAATGGTCCGATTCGACCAAGGGGAGATGGACCTATTGCCTGATCCCGCAAGTGCCTGCCTGGGTAAGTCGAGACCATGGAGAGATAAACTACTATCTTTGTCAAATGCTTTCAGGACATGGGTGCTTCCGGGCATATCTTCATAAATTCAAACATGAAGGTGGAGAACGCGGAGCACGTATTCTTCACATGCCCCCGTTTCAGTGACATCCGGGATACTTGGGAGACTGAACTGGGAAAAAAAAGTCTCGCCCGAGAATCTAGTAGAAGTAATGTTGTCATCACAGACAGCCTGGGACGCAACGAGCAACTTTGCGGCGGAAGTCATGAAGGAACTCAGAAATGAGGAACGCACGCGCAAGGTTGCAGTATAGGTGAGAAATCTATTTGGAACCTCCTAATCACACATAACATCTTAGCAGGTTAGGGGGATGTACATTGGATGGAAAGAGTGGAAGAGCAAACAGCTGAGAACCCCCCTCGCGAAGTAATACTTCACGGTGGTGCCGCGAGGGAAATGGGAACGAATGATTAGAGGTAAAAAAGAGGAAAACAGGGTTTTTACTGGGTAGAAATCCCAGATCTGGTTTTTAATATCACTTTACCAGAATCTTTTGAAGATTTTCCTAAACCTCTGAAAAAAAACACACACACACACCTGGAGGAGATGAATCGTGTCTTCAGTGCAACGTTTGAAACGATCCGCTGTTGGATGGACTCTGTTGGACTGGACCTGGCGGAGCATAAGACGGAAGCCGTATTGATCACCAGTAGGAAGAAGATCGAGACGACCACACTGCAAGTCGGGTCTTGTGAAATCACCTTTCAGCCATTCATTCCATACCGGGGGGTGGTGATCGATGCACGACTGAAGTTCAAGCAACAAGCAGCGCATGTGGGGGCCAAGGCATCTGGCGTTAGATCCACCTTATCACGCCTCATGCCTAACATCGGGGGACCCAAGCAAAGACGGGCACTGTTGACTTCAGTGATTACTTCGGTGCTCACATATGGTATTCCCATTTGGGGAGAGGTATTCCAGTTGCAGGAAGCGCGACGTAAGATGGCACCAGTCTACCGACTGAGTGCCCTTAGAGTAGCAATTGCATTTCGGACAGTTTCTGAGGACGGAGTGTGTGTCATTACAGGAATGCTGCCGATAGAAATACTGGCTGAGGAGCGGAGGGTCTTGTACAAACGTAGGGGATCCGAAGCGCTGAGTCCCGAGGAGCTGACGCTGGAAGAGAGGCGGAACAGCTTGCGGAAATGGCAGCTGAAGTGGGACAACTCCACCAAAGGGAGATGGATCTATCGTCTGATCCCCAAGGTGAAAGTCTGGCTAAATCGAAACCACAGAGAGGTGAACTACTACCTAACGCAGATGCTTACGTGGCACGGGTGCTTTAGAGCGTATCTTCATAAATTTAAATATGAAGATTTCTCGAAATGCCCAACCTGTACGGACGTGGATGAAGATGCGGAGCACGTGTTCTTCGTATGCCCTCGTTTCAGCGAGACAAGGCGTACGTGGGTGTCTACACTTGCAAGGGAAGTATTGCCTGAAAATCTGTTGGATGCTTTACTATCATCGCAGGCAGCCTGGGACGTGACGAGCCATTTTGCGGCTGAAGTCATGAAAGAGCTCAGAAAAGAGGAACGCGAGCGCAGAGCCACCACTTAGACGGAGAACCTACTGGAACCTTCTACCTACACCCAAGAACTTAGTAGGCTAGGAGAACGTACATTAGGCCGCAAAAGAGGAAGAGCCAATAGCTGTGACCTCCCTCGCGAAGTAATACTTGACGGTGGTGCCGCGAGGGATTCAAAGGTTAGTGAATTTATCTGATGGGAGTTTAGTCGGTACTGACAGTCACTGTCCGAGCCCCACACTCACCTGACGGGGGGAAGTTCCTATTCCCTCCCTCAGGTGGTCGTGCGTAAATGCATTCTCCAACAGACGAAAAAAAAACACACACATACGCGCACACACACACACACACAAGCATACACACACACACGTGCACACACACACACACATCCACGGACCCTTTCGGCGAAGAATGCCTTTACCCTCCGAGAGTTTTCGCAGATTGGAAGGTCCTGCAACGCGGCGCGTCCCCAGGTGGTGGATGGGGGAATGCTCGATATTCTGAACTGCCGTTCAGAATATAGGGTATCGACTGAATAAAATACGTCAGCGCGAATCAACACCTTCCGAGAAACCCAACTCTAAAAGAGGTGTGCAGGGTGGGCTCCCTAAAATACCCCCGGGTCAGGTTCACGATAACAGTTAGTACAAAAATGATGAATGATGACAAAATGGAAAGTTCCCATGGGGGTAGCCTTAACAAGGAGAATCCCGCCATCAGTTCTCTTGCCGGCTCCATGGATTATGGGAGGAGCCAATCATCACATTCATTAAAGGTGGACTCCTTGGCCTCGGAGGCTACAAGGAGAGATGAGTCGCAGACTAAACAGGAGACGAAATGCTGCAATGCATAGGCACGACTTGAAAAACTCATCGCAGAATTTCATGAGTATGCCCAGCCCAGGATAAATGTCCACAAGAAGATCAAATGCAAGGTGGCAACTATCGGCAACGCATTTAAACGCCTCAAATGTTTGGAGGAGGCACGCATCAAAGCACGACCCTCCTTCACCAAACCCTTGCAAACTCCACCAGCACCACCCACATTGCGTTTACGGACGGACTCCGAAACGACGGCAAAGGACTCGGATTTAGAGGATCCGAATACCATACAGTCGGCCCGAGATGTCCGCAAGACAGTGCGGAGAAAGCGCTCGAAAGGCTCACCTGCGGCAAAAGCTCAGACTTTGAAGAAGCTGAAGCAACAGGATCTGTCCACCAAGGCAGCCCCGCAGATGGTGGCAATTTCAGATTCACCTGCTAAGCCTGAATGGACGCAGGTGAAGAACAAAAAGGAGAAGAAGAGGCAGGCCGGACAGCTCCATCCACAGCTGCCTCTCAAAGAGATGAAAAAAAAAAAGAAACAGGAGAGGGCTACTCGGAAACCAGTGATACGACCTGATGCGCTGATTATACGCCCCAAGGACAAGGAGAAGTACTTCGATATACTTCGTCGGGTGAAGAAGGATGTTTCCTCCGAGGACGCTGTCGGTTGTGTCGATAAGATTCGCCGTACAGCAATCGGGGATATGCTGATCATCCTTAGCAGAAAGACGACTGATGGAGCACCTAAGCTGCGTACGGCCATCGTCAATCTCCTTGGAGATGAGGCNGAATAAAATACGTCAGCGCGAATCAACACCTTCCGAGAAACCCAACTCTAAAAGAGGTGTGCAGGGTGGGCTCCCTAAAATACCCCCGGGTCAGGTTCACGATAACAGTTAGTACAAAAATGATGAATGATGACAAAATGGAAAGTTCCCATGGGGGTAGCCTTAACAAGGAGAATCCCGCCATCAGTTCTCTTGCCGGCTCCATGGATTATGGGAGGAGCCAATCATCACATTCATTAAAGGTGGACTCCTTGGCCTCGGAGGCTACAAGGAGAGATGAGTCGCAGACTAAACAGGAGACGAAATGCTGCAATGCATAGGCACGACTTGAAAAACTCATCGCAGAATTTCATGAGTATGCCCAGCCCAGGATAAATGTCCACAAGAAGATCAAATGCAAGGTGGCAACTATCGGCAACGCATTTAAACGCCTCAAATGTTTGGAGGAGGCACGCATCAAAGCACGACCCTCCTTCACCAAACCCTTGCAAACTCCACCAGCACCACCCACATTGCGTTTACGGACGGACTCCGAAACGACGGCAAAGGACTCGGATTTAGAGGATCCGAATACCATACAGTCGGCCCGAGATGTCCGCAAGACAGTGCGGAGAAAGCGCTCGAAAGGCTCACCTGCGGCAAAAGCTCAGACTTTGAAGAAGCTGAAGCAACAGGATCTGTCCACCAAGGCAGCCCCGCAGATGGTGGCAATTTCAGATTCACCTGCTAAGCCTGAATGGACGCAGGTGAAGAACAAAAAGGAGAAGAAGAGGCAGGCCGGACAGCTCCATCCACAGCTGCCTCTCAAAGAGATGAAAAAAAAAAAGAAACAGGAGAGGGCTACTCGGAAACCAGTGATACGACCTGATGCGCTGATTATACGCCCCAAGGACAAGGAGAAGTACTTCGATATACTTCGTCGGGTGAAGAAGGATGTTCCCTCCGAGGACGCTGTCGGTTGTGTCGATAAGATTCGCCGTACAGCAATCGGGGATATGCTGATCATCCTTAGCAGAAAGACGACTGATGGAGCACCTAAGCTGCGTACGGCCATCGTCAATCTCCTTGGAGATGAGGCTGAGGTGCTCAGTAAGGGGCCACGAGAGGATCTCGAGATCAAAGATCTCGACGAAACTACATCGAAGGAGGAGGTCATCCAAGCCCTAAAAGTAGCAGCTCGGGAGGAAAACGAGATCCGAGCGGATGCGATCAAGTGCCTTCGTAAAGCTTATGGAGGTACCCAGACTGCCTCAGTGAGACTCACAGCTACAACAGCGAAGAAGATCCTGGGGGAGCACGGGAAGATTGTAATAGGCTGGGTCAATTGCCGAGTGAGAAGAGTGGAGAGGCCATTAAAATGCTTCAAGTGCTGGCACTATGGCCATCTCGCCACCAAATGCAAGAGTGGGGTCGATCGGTCCAAGATCTGCATCAAATGCGCTGAGCCGGGCCACACCGTTGCTGCCTGCAAAAAGGAACGCAATTGTGCCCTGTGCACTGAGAAAGGGAACACGAAAAACTGCGCTCATATTGCTGGGAGTACCAGGTGCCCAGTTTATCAGGAGGCGCTACAGAAATTAAACAACAAACGACGATGAAGGTGCTACAGCTCAACCTCAACCATTGCGAGGCTGCACACGACCTGCTCATGCAAACGGTGCGAGAGCTGAAGCCTGACCTGGTTATGATCTCGGAGCCATACCGACATCTTGACACCCAATCCTGGATTACTGACGCCAGCAAGAAGGCTGTAATCTGGGCTTGTAGAAATCAGCCATTTCAAAGTATCACCGGCGAGGGTATACATAATGGGTTTGTGAAGGCTAGGGTTAGCGGAATTTACTTCTACAGCTGTTATGCTCCCCCGAGCCTCCCCTTGGACGAATTCACTGACTTCCTGGACGAATTGACCGAGGATGCGAATCGGCACTTTCCCGTGGCAATAGCTGGGGATTTCAACGCCTGGGCAGTTGAATGGGGAAGTAGGGAGACGAATCCCAGAGGGCAAGCCATACTGGAAGCCAATTCGTGAGCAGCACTCTTGCAAAGGAGAACTGCTCATGGAGAGTAACAAACATTGAGACTGCAAGTGACCACTGCGCGATTCTGTGGCAGGCAAATATTGGCCAGAGAACCGCCCTAACACCAAAGAAGACCAACGGCATTGGCTGCAGGGTGAGCACTTTTGATCCTAGCTCCTATTCAGCAGCGTTGGACGATCGCCCGATCAGTGATAGCAATGCCACTGAAAAGGCACAAAATGTCATGAAAAGACTGACGGAAGCCTGCGATGCAACCGTGACCAGAAAGCGGGCTACAAACCGGCACCCACCGGTGTACTGGTGGAATGAAACCATCGCCACCCTGCGAAAAGAGTGTAATGCAGCTCGGAGACGGTCGCAGCGTGGCCGCAAGAAGCCGAACTCCGAGGAGTTGCAGACAAGATATACGGAAGCACGCCGAAACCTCAGCAAGGCCATCAAGCGCAGCAAAAAGCAATCTTGGAGGGAACTCCTTGCTGAGGTAGAAAGCGATACGTGGGGTAGACCATACAAGGTGGTGATGTCGAGACTGAATAGTCAGCCAATGCCGTCACCAACGTGTCCTGTACTGATGGAAAAAATCGTCACGGTGTTGTTCCCGCAACAGCCAGAACTTCATCGCACAGACGAAAAATGGAAATAGATGATTATTCCACCAATCACTAAGCAAGAACTGATGGAAGCCTGCAATAGGGTGGGTAACACCAAGGCCCCTGGTCTGCATGGAATCCCCAACATCGCCTTGAAGACAGCTATCCACGCGATGCCGGAGATTTTTTTGGACGTATACAACGAGTGCCTAAGGGAGGGCTCCTTCCCTGCCATGTGAAAGCAGCAGAGACTTGTACTATTCCCGAAAAGGAAAAAACCACCGGACGATCCGTCATCATACTGTCCGCTCTGCATGCTCGATACCGCCGACAAGATCCTCGAGCGTATTGTCCACAAAAGTATAGAAACAGCAGTCGAACCCTTGTTGGCGGACAACCAGGAAAGAGATGGCTAAATGGCACGAAGAAGTATTGCCTAGTAGCGACACTAGACATCAAGAATGCTTTCAACTCGGCCAGGTGGGACCGTATCATGGAGGCTCTTGAGAATTTCAATGTACCGGGATACGTGCGTAGAATGGCAGACAGCTACTTCACTGGAAGAGTCCTCAAGTACGACACGGAGAGTGGTCGTGAGGAGTATAGAGTAACCGGAGGAGTACCTCAAGGCTCAGTATTAGGTCCCCTATTGTGGAATATCATGTATGACGGGCTGCTGAAACTGNAGCAAGGCCATCAAGCGCAGCAAAAAGCAATCTTGGAGGGAACTCCTTGCTGAGGTAGAAAGCGATACGTGGGGTAGACCATACAAGGTGGTGATGTCGAGACTGAATAGTCAGCCAATGCCGTCACCAACGTGTCCTGTACTGATGGAAAAAATCGTCACGGTGTTGTTCCCGCAACAGCCAGAACTTCATCGCACAGACGAAAAATGGAAATAGATGATTATTCCACCAATCACTAAGCAAGAACTGATGGAAGCCTGCAATAGGGTGGGTAACACCAAGGCCCCTGGTCTGCATGGAATCCCCAACATCGCCTTGAAGACAGCTATCCACGCGATGCCGGAGATTTTTTTGGACGTATACAACGAGTGCCTAAGGGAGGGCTCCTTCCCTGCCATGTGGAAGCAGCAGAGACTTGTACTATTCCCGAAAAGGAAAAAACCACCGGACGATCCGTCATCATACTGTCCGCTCTGCATGCTCGATACCGCCGACAAGATCCTCGAGCGTATTGTCCACAAAAGTATAGAAACAGCAGTCGAACCCTTGTTGGCGGACAACCAGGAAAGAGATGGCTAAATGGCACGAAGAAGTATTGCCTAGTAGCGACACTAGACATCAAGAATGCTTTCAACTCGGCCAGGTGGGACCGTATCATGGAGGCTCTTGAGAATTTCAATGTACCGGGATACGTGCGTAGAATGGCAGACAGCTACTTCACTGGAAGAGTCCTCAAGTACGACACGGAGAGTGGTCGTGAGGAGTATAGAGTAACCGGAGGAGTACCTCAAGGCTCAGTATTAGGTCCCCTATTGTGGAATATCATGTATGACGGGCTGCTGAAACTGAGATTGTCGCGGGAAACTAAACTCGTGGCATTTGCAGATGACGTGGCTGTAGTCATTGTGGGCAAATTCATGGAGCAGATCAATTACACTTTTGACATGACCTTTGAAATGATCCGCTGTTGGATGGACACAGTGGGCCTGAAGCTGACGGAACACAAGACAGACGCGGTGTTGATCACTAGCAGAAAGGAAATAGAGACGATATCGCTGCAGGTCGGGTCCTGTGAAATTACCCCCCAGCCATACATACGATACCTGGGGGTGATGATCGATGCTCGACTCAATTTTAAGCAGCAAACCGAGCGCGTAGGTGCCAAGGCGTCTGCAGTCGGATCTACTGTATCGCACCTCATGCCTAATATCGGTGGTACTAAGCTAAAAAGACGAGCGCTGCTTTCATTGGTCGTCACGTGAGTGCTCACCTATGGAACTTCCATCTGGGCTGATGCGCTGCACATGGCAGAATCACGGCGAAAGGTAGCGTCGGTGTATCGACTGAGTGCTCTGCGAGTAGCGAGTGCATACCGCACGGTGTCCGAGGATGCAGTATGCGTCATGTCCGGTATGTTGCCTATTGAGGTATTGGCCGAAGAGCGAAGGTCTCTGTATAGACGCAAGAAGTCGGAAACACAAAGCGCAGCAGAGCTCAGCGCAGACGAGAGGCGTAGAAGCTTACAACGATGGCAGCGAAAGTGGGACGCCTCTACCAAGGGCAGATGGACTCATCGCCTGATCTCACAGTTGGCCGTCTGGGTAAGTCGAAAAAATGGAGAGGTCAATTATTACCTGGCACAACTGCTTTCAGGACACGGGTGTTTCCGGGCGTATCTTCACAAATACAAACACGAAGATTCCCCGGAGTGACTATTTAGCACAGGAGTCGGCGAAGATGCAGACCATGTATTCTTTACATGCCCCCGCTTCAATGAGATCCGAAGTACGTGGGAGTCCGACCTGGGAAGAGAGGTCAAACCTGAGAGCCTGGTGGACGCAATGCTGTCATCAAAGGCAGCCTGGGACACGACGTGTAACTTTACGGCTGAGGTCATGAAGAGGCTCAGAAATGAGAAACGAAAGCGCAATGCTGCAGTATAGGTGAGAAATGTTATTGGAACCTCCAAATCACGCAGAACATCTTAGCAGGATGGGGGACGTACATCAGATGAAAAAACGTGGAAGAGCTAACAGCTGAGACTTCCCTCGCGAAATAATACTTTACGGTGGTGCCGCGAGGGGATGAAAGGTTAGTGGAAATATGTCTGACTGGAGTTTAGTCGGTATTGACAGTTTTTGTCCGAGTCCGACACTCATTTGACGGACGGATCCTGCTGTCCCCTCCCTCAAGTGGTCGTGCGTAAATGCATTCTCCCAACAGACAAAAAAAACACACACATACGCACACACACACACACACACACACACACACGCATACACACACACCGCCGAGCTGAGGCTTGTCCTTTTCAGGGCACTTTGGTGGACAAGCCCAACTTCTACGGCGGCGCGTCCCCAGGTGGCGGATGGGGGAAGTCCTAACTGGGTCAGCCTACTGATTCAGACTGGAGTGAAATAAAATTGCTGCCGCGGACCAAAAGAGGCGTGCAGGGTGGACTCCTTACAACAGCCTCCCCCCAATGTCAAGGTGTTCACCGTGTCGAATTCTGGACGGCGCTAGGGATAGTTGGCGTCGCAAACGGTGGTCCCTGGGGCACCATCTCCCACTCCAAGTGTATTCAGTGATCGTACTCCAACAGCCGGGGCTCTGTTCGGAGTGGACAGTTATACTTCCTTAGGTACTCGTGGGAACATGATGGATAATAAACTAAACACTAAAAACGAAGATAAGAAGCAGGACAACGTGGCTCAAAAAACTGGGCCAAGTGACGAGGTCATATTGAAGACGATGTGGGATAGGCATGAACAGCTCATAGCCGACCTGATCACCTACATGAAGCAGAAGAGGAGTATCAACGCTCATTGTCGAGACATGGTGAACTCTATCAGCACCTCTGCCAAACGCCTCAGGCAGCTAGGCGGGCAAACAGGGCAGACTAGGCCATTGCCAGGGACATCGGTATCCTTATTCTTAGGGAGAACGCGAACTCTCTCTGAAGGCACGGCGACGACGATGGATTCTGAGCATGAAGATGAGAGTTCGGCTCTCTCTGATACGACCAAGGCTTCCAGGATGAAACGGAAGCCGCGAGAATCACCACCGACGGACACCAGGGACCTCAAGAAGAAGAAAAGGGAAGAGCGGGAGGCCGCTCACGCCCGGAGCAAGAGGGAGAATTCACCTGCAAAGTCCTCGGACTGGTCGAGATCAAGGATCTTGATGAGCTGACCTCGAAGGAGGAGGTGCTCAAGGCCCTGCAACTCGCAACTGGGGTGAATTGCCAAATTCCCCTGGACGCCGTCAGGTCCTTGCGGAAGGCCTTTATAGGTACCCAGACGGCATCGGTGACGGTGGCCGCAACGGTCGCGAAGAAAGTCTTGGGCGAACGAGGTAAGATTCGCATAGGATGTTTCAACTGCCGAATCTGAAGGGTGGATAGACTGGTCAAGTGCTTCAAGTGCTGGTACTATGGACACCTCGCCATCAAGTGCAAGAGTGAAGTGGACCGAGCAAAGCTCTGTACAAAGTGTGGAGAAGCTGGCCACAAAGCTGCTGCCTATGAGAAGAAAGCTCGTTGCGCCTTGTGTTCCGAGAAAGATCGAACGAAGAATTGTGCTCATATCGCTGGTAGCAGCAGATGCCCTGTCTTCAGGGAAGCACTCCAGAGGATGAACAACAAACGGTAATGCAGATACTACAGCTCAACCTCAACCATTGTGAGGCTGCACACGATCTGCTTATACAGACGGTGCGGGAGCTGAAGATAGATCTGGTGATTATCTCGGAGCCATACAGACACCTGGACACCCAACTCTGGGAGACGGATAAAAGTCGAAAGGCCGCTATCTGGTCTTGTGGCAAGTTCCCATTCCAGAGTATTGCGAATACTGAGGAGACTGGTTTCGTGGTAACTAAGCTGGAAGGAATCCACTTTTATAGCTGTTACTCTCCACCGAGCCTGACGTTTGGCGAGTTCACGGACTTCCTACACAGACTGACAGAGGACGCGAAGCAGCACTTTCCTGTGGCAATCGCCGGGGACTTCAATGCTTGGGCAGTTGACTGGGGAAATAAAGAAACGAACACGAAGGGGCAAGTTGTACTGGAGGCAATGTCCTCACTAGATGTGGTATTGCTGAACAGTGGCAATGAACCAATGTTCGTGAGGGGAGAGAGGAGCTCAATTGTGGATCTCACCTACGTGAGCAGCGCTCTCGCAAAATGAAACTACTCATGAAAGGTAACCGACATCTACACTGCTAGTGATCATCAGGCCATACTCTGGGAAGTATACACCGGTAGGAGAATCAGACCAGCGCCAAAGAAGACCAATGCAATTGGCTGAAAAGTGAGCACATTTGATTCGAGCTCATTCCTGGTTGCCTTCGATGACTGTCCAATCA